GCTCTTGTGTGTGACTTTTTTTTTTATTATTTGTTTTTCTTTATTATTAAAAAAAAAGTGTAGGCCTATTTTTTGTTGTTGTGAATGTCCCAATTGAGGAACAGGATGTGAAAACAGGAATAGATCAGCCCATTTCTCAGAGAAGGGACAGAACGGTGTGAAATAAAGGTAAATTATGTGAAAAATAACGTGTTTTTAAAAAAACTAAGCATTAACACGTTAGACTGCACCCCATAAACACAATCAATCCTAGAAAAAAAAACAGTGAACCACCCCTTTAAGATTACTGCTCTTGTGCGTGACTTTTTTTTTTATTATTTGTTTTTCTTTATTATTAAAAAAAAAGTGTAGGCCTATTTTTTGTTGTTGTGAATGTCCCAATTGAGGAACAGGATGTGAAAATTTAAGATACATGTTTATTTGTTTAAGTTGCATTTGTGAGTTAATAAAAATGTAGATGGTTGTTTAAAATAGGTATATAATATAATAATATCGATCGATAGTCTCCTGTATTGAATCGTATCGAAATCGTATCATAGAATTTTTTGAAGTATCTCCAAATATCGTATGCTGGGTATGAGAATCGGTATCGTATCGTATCGTGACGAACCATCCGATTTACACCCCTAATTAATACCAGTTTCAGCACAAAATGATCATGATTAAACATCCGAATGTAAGTTAAAAGAAAGAGTACAACTTTACAATTCTTATCCTGTCTCATGTAATCTCTCAATTAGATTAGTGTTTCAGCCGCGCAAAGACATCAATATAACGGCTTGTAAACAATGTCACGTTACGTCACATTTACCTCAGAAAAACATATTCGGTGACCATAAACTCATTAGTAAGCTAGAAAATATATAATAGAAATAAATATATGCACCATATCATTATAATTTTTACTGTTCTTCAATATTTAATTTATGTTTGAATAAATCCATCAAGTTTTTGACAGCCACTATTTAAATGTTTATATTTCAAAAAAACTAATTAAAGTAGAAGTATTATTATGTAGCTAATTGCAACTTTATTATTTTAAAAACTTCATTAAGTGTAATTTTAGCAGTTGTATATTAGCCTACAAATCAGTCAATTTTAACCTTCAATATTATAGTAATGTAGTACCAGCTGACTCTCATGTATATTTTACAGCATTAGTTGAGAGATTTTTTTTCCTTGAGAAAATTTGCCATGTACCTGATATGTATCCAAAATAATCAATATTGAATCGAATCGAATCGCAAGCTTGTGAATGAGAATCGAATCGTGAAATTTGTGTCAAAACCCAGCCCTACTGTTTTAAACAAAATAGCTTTTCAAGTAACAAGCTATAAGCTATTTTTCTTATACGGCAAAAAAAACAAAACACTTTTGTTACACTGTACTGCATGTACAGGTTTACATTTGAGAGATTTAAAATAATGCTCAAACATGATCACCTACTTTGAGCTCTCTCTCAAATGAAGCATTGGGAGCTCCAATTCATTTTAGTGTATGACTGTGAATAAATCCATCAAGTTTTTGACAGCCACTATTTAAATGTTTATATTTAAAAAAAAACTAATTAAAGTAGAAGTATTATTATGTAGCTAATTGCAACTTTATTATTTTAAAAACTTCATTAAGTGTAATTTTAGCAGTTGTATATTAGCCTACAAATCAGTCAATTTTAACCTTCAATATTATAGTAATGTAGTACCAGCTGACTCTCATGTATATTTTACAGCATTAGTTGAGAGATTTTTTTTCCTTGAGAAAATTTGCCATGTACCTGATATGTATCCAAAATAGTCAATATTGAATCGAATCGAATCGCAAGCTTGTGAATGAGAATCGAATCGTGAAATTTGTGTCAAAACCCAGCCCTACTGTTTTAAACAAAATATCTTTTCAAGTAACAAGCTATAAGCTATTTTTCTTATATGGCAAAAAAAAAACACTTTTGTTACACTGTACTGCATGTACAGGTTTACATTTGAGAGATTCAAAATAATGCTCAAACATGATCACCTACTTTGAGCTCTCTCTCAAATGAAGCATTGGGAGCTCCAATTCATTTTAGTGTATGACTTCATTCAAGTGGTTCATTTTATGAACCGGTACAAAAATATGATACACAATTAATTTTAGTCTCTACACAGATGCCTCTGTAGCTATTTATGTCTTATTTTTTGTACTGGTATAAAAGTAATGCTCATTTTCATCAAGTAATTTGTGCTCAGAAAAATCTGCCACATTCAATTTCAGCTTATTTCTTGACAAAACTTAAGATCTGCAGTTTATCATTTTAGACAGTTACTAATTAGTTCACTTCTTCCAGCTGAGAGAAAGACCACTTCTTAAAGACAAAAATGACTGTGAGAAGACTGTTATGTAAACGCTAGACACCACGTCTGGAGGAAGCAGTTATGAAGAAGACCCCAATCACAGAAATGAGACATAACCACCTAAACAAGGCTCGAGGAATAGCCCTCAGTCTCCTCGCTGGAGCTCCTGTGCAGTTCGAGTAATCTTGACTTCTTTGAGCATTCAGAATAAGAAAGTGCCTTAATTTTTCATCCGTCTGATTTAGGTAGGCTCTGTTACCATGGTGATCAACGTTCGTGATGCCCCACCCTGTAGTTCTGGCTCCACTGCCCTATAATTCAGAGTGCTGCAAAGCCAGTTCTTTCATGTTTAGCAACTCAACCCTCTCTGATTACAGACAACAACACAAAAAAGACAATTCGTGGTAGTCAATATTTAACCTCCCCTCTATTTTTAAAGTTTTATTTGTTTGAATATCTACAAAGTATTTATACCAACGAAGCATCACCGTAAAGCAGTATCACACTAGGATTTAGATGTCTGAAACCTTAAGTATAGTCAAATCTAGAGCAAAGCTCCTGGAGACTCGTTCTCAAACCATCAATATCACCTACAGCAGCTGGTCTACAGCAGCATGTGATGACACTAATGAGGGTGCTGTGTTAATGCGCTAAAGATGAGAACATGCAGAACACTAAACAAAAGACACAAAACTCAAGACAGGAATAAGCAAAAAGGTATAAAGTTTGATGACAGTGTGACAACGACTGTCTTAAATCAGGTTAGGCTCAGATTAGGCGTGAAGTCAACATGAAAAGGTGTTTGTAACCTGTTTTACTTCCGTAATGTGATGTTTTTCATTGGGATGCACTGATATTATAATTCAAACCAATAATTACTTGCATGTTTTTAGTGATAACTGATAAACAGTCAATATTAAAATTCTACACTGATTTAGTCTAAAAAAACAAAACAAACAAACACTGAAATCAATCATTTTAAATGTTTGCTTAAAATGTTTACATTTAGTGAATTTAGGCATTAAAACATTTTATTACACGGCTCTGCGGAATACTTGATTCTGATTGGTCAATCGCGCCATCCAGCGGTATGTTATTCCTAGATAACAACCGCCAAATTGAATAACACACCGCTCATCCGGGTATTACGAGTTATCTTGACCGGTACGACTTATATGCTTAACGAGTCACTCCGCTATCGTTGACTGTCTTGCGCCATCTTGTGACTGAAAACACTTAACTACTGCGTGTTACAATGGAAGACTTCAGCATTCATTTCAACATATATGGTAAAAACAAATCGTTTTAGCCGTGTAATAAGCGGGATAATGTACATCCAGCCGGTTGTTATCTCAGAATAAACCCCTTCAGGCTGATACAAGACCCCTCCGCTTCGCGTCAGGGTCCTGATCACCCTGTCGGGGTTTATTCTGAGATAACAACCGGCTGGATGTGCATTATCCCTTACATAATGTACAGTATGAAAAACAGATTTGCATTTTCAGGTTAAATTTAACAGTGTTATTCAATTATCAGTTGATAGCAAAGGTAAATCGAATATAAAAACAGGACAAAAACCATGAACAATGGAATATCTAATATCTGCCAATACGATAAATGAGGGGGGGGGGGGGGCAACAAGGAACAATAATTGACATACTGTGCAACTGTATTCACTGACTATTCCATTTATATTTGATCAATTTTTTCTGTTTGCTTAAAAAAGTTCAATAAAATCTAGCTTCACGTACTCTGTAAGACTAACTGCCTCTTGTCACAGCTCTTACTGTACATATAGCTGTTCTTTTGTTGGATTAATTACTTATATTATCCTTATTTGTAAGTCGCTTTGAAAAAAAGCATCCGCAAAATGATTAAATGTAAATGTAAATTTAAGTGAGAATTTCCCATCAAATGTTTCATTTGTCAAAGAAAGATTGATTTGATGACATTTCAGATTCGAAACACTTGAAATACTAAAGTTATTCTTTAAACGTTTTGAAATTTAGTCAGTTACTTTACATCAGAGATCGTTTTGAAAAAGTCTTCATAGAGAAAGCTGAGGCAAGATTTTCAATCACAAAGGTTTCGCGGCTTAGAAAGTGGCAAAAGGAGTCAAGAGAAGAAGCTTCAAGGTTACTCTTATACTAGCACCGCCTCTGAGTGGCTGAAAGATTTAAAGGTTAAACGAAGCAAGTGAAAAAGAAAGACAGGGAGCGAGCCGATGCGACAGAGAGGCCTAATGGAATTACAACAGCCTTGTGACAGCGGTGCAGATGGATCACATGGCGAATTAAATGGCTCTCTGACCCATGCCAGAACTGAGCCTTGACCGCCGCTCGACCCGTGGCACCCACAACATTGCCGTGTCACTCACGGCGCATCTCAGCAATCCGCACACTCATTCACAAGGACAATAAAGCAGAGCGTCCCATGAGAACCGCTTTCTGATCAATGGCTACATCGAAATGCATCGCTCATCTAAACACCACGGAAAGTTCAGGTGAACGGTTTGTTTGAATTTCGAGTTCACATCGTGCTACGCGAGTGAAGCACTGGTGTGTTCACTCATGCCTGCAAACAATTCCACAATGCAATGCACTTCCAATTTCACAAGGTACAGAAATAAGTACAGGAAAAATGACTAACCAGCTGAGGAGTTGTACTTACTGTCTGCCTGAGAGGAAAACTGCACGCAGCTCAGCAGTAGCAGAAGAGGAAGCCCAACAGGCAGGAAGGGCATGGACGTGCAAATATTAGGCACCATGTTCCAGGTTGGCACTGCTCCCCCTCGGTCCCCGCTCTGCTCTCGCAGCTCTCACGCAATCATAGACTAAAACCTGAGGAACACAGAGACAAACACATGTTAGCATTTGATTCAAGGTAGGACAACCAGGAATGTGCAGTATTGGCTGTGGGTGTGATAAATTGAATGGTCTGTCTAGGGACAACAGGGTTAATGAGGTAAGTAAATGCTCTTTTATCTAAGTATACTAAACCCATAATCTGCTGCCCGTTTGCTAAATATCAAAGGGACAGGAGAGAATTTGGAATTCCCAATAACCGACCGCCACTAAAGGTGCCCATTAAGTGGCTCTGTACAGATGGCTCCGGATCTCCTGAAGTGTGGCGGTAATACTGTATGGCCACACACACACACACACACACACACACACACAGCTCCCTAAGGATGAATGCTGGTTTAAATCAGCGCTCACATTATCTGAGAACTATGCAACTGCCAGAATATAGGGGAAGTTATGTTGAAACTGCAGCTTGTCGATTGAGCTAAGCTGCTCAAATTTAAAGTAATTAAACTGGTCACCCGCACTTTTTTTCTAGAGGTTTCTGACAAAAAGTCACAAAATACATTGAAAGACTGTGTTATGGATCAAATCATAGACAGTAAAGGGTTTTGAATGTACTGTATTACTTTAAAAAGTGCTTGTTGTAATAAACGTCAAATTACATGTTTAAAGTACATTTTAAATCATTTTTTAAATATTGTAATGGTTTAAAGAAGTACACTTAATTTGATCTGTTCACTAACACACTAAAGCACGACAAGTATGATTATAATTTAAACTGTAGTTTGCTATTCAGTGTTACATTTAAAGTTCATCTATTTTAAATGAACTAAATATTTAAATACATCACATACACGAGGTGACATTAAAAGATTTTTTGTTTACCATAATTATTGCCAGTACATTCAGCTGATCACTTGTACCATATTTCAAAGACAATAGAAGGAATGATCAAATTACATATAAAGATATACTTAAAGGGTTAGTTCACCCAAAAATGAAAATTCTGTCATTAATTACTCACCCTCATATCGTTCTAAACCCGTAAGATCGTTCATCTTCGGAACACAAATTAAGATATTTTTGATGAATTTTGGGAGCGCTCTGACCCTTCCCATAGACAGCAATGTAATTATCACGATCAAGGTCCAGAAACGTAGCAAGTAGATCGGTAAAATAATCCATGTGACATCAGGGGTTCAACCGTACTTTTACGAAGCTAAGAGAATACTTTTTGTACGCAAAGAAAACTAAAATAACGACTTTATTCAACCATTCGTCTCCTCCGCGTCACCCTGATGCCATTTTGGAGAATATCCACTGAACGTAAACAGCGTATGCTATTCTGTGTCAGCTGCGTCACGCGGATACGTTGTTTTCGTTCAAATCAAAGAGTAAACAACATAGAAAACATATCCGCGTGGCGCAGCTGACACAGAATAGGTCTTACAGGTTTAGAACGACATGAGGGTGAGTAATTAATGACAGAATTTTCATTTTTGAGTGAACTAACCCTTTAAGTGGGTCAAAAAGCACTCTAAAGTTCAGCTAATTGGAGTTATTTCAAATTTAAACTATAATTCATTTTAATTTAATGGCAATTAGCATGCAATTAAGTGTCCGTCTGCCACTTTGACATCAATGCGTTCACTTGTCTCATCTTATCCGTTTAATAATTTCCACAGTGTGAGCGGCTGGTGATTTTAACAAGCAAGAATGTGAATAGGACAGAAACAAAGACACAAGTATCTCGCAAGGTGAAAAACACCCAATTCACCTGAGGAGGAGACTAGCCAATTATTAACACGCTGATTTCGGATGCATGCTGGATGCATGCAGATACGCCCGGCTGCTGTGTTTGTGAGATGGTGCCAAAAGAAACAATGAACAAACAGATCCTAACAGGGAGGTGTTTAAACAATGTTTATTTTTTCATCCAAAAGGCTTTTTGTTATTCTTGCTTGACAAGATGGTTTGTGTTCTAAAATAACAAGAGGTGACGTACATGTTGAGTCACAGCTTGGTTATACCAAAACACCAGGAGGGGCCTCAGCACCACGGCAATCGTTCTATTAATAATCTTTCACTACTTTTGGAGGCATATCAAAAAAAAAAGAGCAGTTGATTAGGTCACCAATAAAGAAGGAAAAGGGAGGCACGACCCACATTTGAAAAACACTAGTAGGATTAGCCAACTGATCCACTTTTTTTAATACATAACTCAAAGTCAGAAACCAATCATTTAAAACCTGCCTGCCAATCACAGAGTTCTTACACTAGGCCTGACTTGTTTGTTTGGGCCAGGGTTATGGAGAGAACGAGTAAACTGATAAAAGCACAATAGCAGAGCGAACATATACATCAGGTGAGATTTACCCAAGGAGCAGTAATATTGCACAATAAACCCAGATCAAACAGCCATCAATCTCATAACACTGTTGAAAAGTCACGGTTTCATTTTAGAAAACTAGGCAACTAGTGCACATTACTCAAATTGATTGCGCTTTTAGCATGAATCCAAAGGATTATTAAGGATTATGATCTGAATAAGGATCATCATTGAACATGTGGCACTTGCGGTTATTCGTGTGCATCTTATATCACGTGAGATCACATAAATACTGACGTTTATGTTCAAATGCTCATACTTACAGACAACTTTATTTATTGGGCAATAGCAAGAGACAAAAGGACAAAAATGTACACAACTGCAAGGATGCTTGAGACAATGTCAGTCATTTCACCCTAAAAGCAAAAGAAAAAATTAAAGAAAAAAAAAGAAAAGAAAAGAAAAGAAAAGAAAAAATGTATTTTGCATAAAGTAACTGCATCATGTTTTAGGAAAATTATTATTACTATTTTCACTATGGAATTATTGTCATGAAGTTTAAGCACATTTTCCTCTTCAAATTCTCATTAATGTAATGCAAAAATACTGAAAATCATGAAAATACATAAATACAAAGGAAATACCTGTTCAGACAAAAAGATTTAATTCAAATCTGCATAAATCTGCATGTACACTTCCTAATTTAATATTTTTACAATTCAGTGTTTATTTTTATTCATTTATTCCTGTTGTCAATTATTCACAATTTATTCCTGTAATGCAAAGCAGAATTTTCAGCTTCATTACTCCAGTCTTCAGTGTCACAAGATTAGGCATGGGCCGATTACCGGTTTCACGGTATACCGTGATTTGAAAAGTTTCAAAACCACTAACATTTTCTGTTATACCGTTCCTGCGGTATGCGCTGTTTTTCATGTCTCCTCAAAGACTGAAAGTGGAATACCTCAGGTAGAGTGCAGTGTAGAGAGTGTAGAGAGTAATTAAAAAGAAAAAGTATTTTACTGACCTTTAACTGGTAGGTAATACAAGCTCAGACATTACCCTACAGATTAATGCATGGCTAGCAATTATCAGGGCTCCAGACTGTGACTAAATTAGGGTTGGGCATCGTTTGGTTTTTTTTCGATACCGGTGCCAAATCGATACTTTTAAAACGGTTGCGGTGCCTAAACGGTGCCTGAACCGATACTTATTAAAAAATAAATAAATAAATAATCCCCCCAAAAATGATGGATTGGCCATTAGAATAGAAATAGAATAGAGAGTGCAAATGTTAGAGGGTCAAGTTTTTTAATAAAAAAAAACAAGCAGATAAAATTAGAAGTAGCATTAGAATAGAGAGTGCTAGAGTTAGAGGGTCAAATGAAGATGAAAGGGATGTGTTTTCAGCCGTTTCTTGAAAATATTAAGGCTGCTTGGATTGAGCTGGGCAGGTCATTCCACCAGGAGGGAACAGTTAATGTAGAAGTCCATGAAAGTTTTATCATAGGTAGAATGCAAAATGTTTCAATACAAGCATTTCATTCAAATGTAATTTATGCAATATTTCAAACCTTTAAACCACTTGGGAAAATCAACCTATGGCAACAGTTTAAAAGTAGCCCAATTCTGTGGAAAAAACGCGGACTTGGCAACCCTGCATCCAACAAGCGCTACCGCAGTCAGCTTTGACTGATCACAGGTCGAGAATAAGGAGAGATGACTGACAAGACCATGTTGGAGTATTTGCTGCTCAACAGATTCTGAGCTCATTGACAAATATCTAATCTTGTAAGATGTGCTTGCTCCCTTTACACAGAGTGTGCGAAATCCTGGCCGGACACATTTTTTTAGGTCCAAAAAGAGGACATGTCCGGGGAAAAGAGGACATATGGTCACCCTAATTTATAATCTATTGCTAATCGATGTATTCTTTTTAAAGTAGCATATGGAACATATTTTCTGCATCATTCTGTGACAAGAAGCCTCATCACATCACAAAAGGAAGCATTTGACTGGTGTTGTGGAGTAAAAAGGTTATAATGTTCTCTTATGTTCAACAGGTTTAGAAATGTGAATACAAGGGAGGAATGTGAAAACAACATGGACACTCTCCTTGCTCCAAACGTGTGTTGGATTTGTATTATTAGAGCTTTCCGACTTGAGTTCACGTGCATTTTCTCAGTCGGGAAATTATTTTTCACGTGCGGTGTGCCAGTGATGATGCTTCTTTCGTCCGTTTCGGAACCAGAGGACAAATATTTCAATCGATCGCTCAGGCATGGCACGGAAATCTGCGTTCGGATTCTGCCTGTGCGACTAGATTTTGTAAGCACTGGTGCGACCACCACGTTGTTTAACTCATAAGTGCTGCCATTTCTGTTGCATATGAGAAACATCAAATGGCAAACGAAGCTGAAAGCATAACGAAACCGCGCGACTTGTTTGAACTGCGCAGCACTTCGAGTGTAGAGCGTGGTTTATACTTGCCGCGTCAGCAGGAGCAAAATGTAGCAAAAATTATGATAATACAGCATGTGGTGTATGTCATGCCTCGTCTTATTCGTTTTTGTTAATAAACGTTTTGTAAGCTAGTTTGTCATTGTATCGTACTGTTTTATTGTTGTTGTGCTTTTAAATTAAGAATAACAATTAATCAATCTTTTGTTTTAGGCCCAAAAAGGTGTGTAGATGTAAGCAAAAC